AAGTGTATACATTTGAGGATTCTATACTTTAGATCTCCTCAAAGAATACAAGTCATTTAACAAAGATAAACTCATTTAAATTTTTTCATCGACCATTAGTTTCATTACCGTAGTAATGTCAAGGATTGGCGTGTTTGCATTGAATGCCTGTGTACTGATACCTCTCATAACATGAATACCGAATTTCAAACCCATGTCATGAACTTTCTTAGCCACTTCAGTGAAGCCTTTCCCACCCCTGGAGGAAGGCCATCTCTCTGGGTCGGGAATCATTCTTCCCCATTCATCGATCACATCAAATCCAAGAGAATCAACATAAGCACCTTTTACTTTCCTCCTATACCAAAGATAATCCACCACTACATACTGCATAGAATCGCATGGTCAGGAAAAAAAATAAAAATAAACAAGAAAATCAGCTAGCCATTACACACAGTAACTTGTTTATACTTCTATTATCAATCAAGAAAACACTTAACATTTTCTTTAAATATGCAAAAACAACCATTTTATACCCAATTGATTGTGTCTAAAAGCTATTATTTTCAAGAAATAGTTAAGGACCTCATAGCCATGGGCATGCAATCTCCGAGAAACAAGCTCAGCATTTTGAAGAAATTCTTCTTCTGAAACTGTCCAGCAAAAGGAATCATAAGAATTCCAACCTCTGGGTGGTGAGCTAGCAAGCTCTGTTAGACCTCGAAATCGGGTTCCTGAAATTACCCTAACAAAAAAGCACCAACCCAAACATCATTTTCTTTTTCAAATTCAATCTTTCTAGACATAATTGGGGCTTTTTTTTTTCTTTCTTGCAGCTATTAAAACAAATTAAATCAAAATTCATTAAATCGCTCAACAGAAGTGGCAAGCAATTGAATTATCATCTTCTTACTGATCAGATATTCCATTATATATATTGCTTTCAGAAAAAAAAAAACAATAAATCGAATTGGGTTTCCAACAAGAACCAATCATCAAGAAGAAGAATAAAAAAAAAGGGATTCACTCAAAATAAATAACTTGAAGAACTGGATTTTCCTCAAAGATCACAAAAATACAAAATAAAGAAGATTTAAAGGGGAAAAAAATTAAAAAATCAACACTTAAAATTTTGAAATTACACTAATCCAAATTAAACCGACAGAATTACGGATACAAGCTAAAAGTGATAAAAGATGAAAAAGTACCTTCGAAGCAGAAAAGTGAAGCAAAAACAGATAATAAAACAAGACCTCATTGTCGAAATCACTGCTTTCAGAAATTGAAGAAAGAGATTACGACATAAAAAGTAGCAGTCACTGCAGTTGATGCTGGATCCTTGTATCTTGTTATTGACTATGCATGCTCAATGTCAATGACGTGGATGTATATTAGAGGGGATGTAAATTTGAGGTGCAAGAGCCTCCCATGACCCATTCATCGTGTAAAATTGATATTTTAAAATCATTTTTGCATTTTTATTTATATTTTGATTGATCTAAAATCAAAATATATTTCAGTAAAAGTACTAAAGTCAAATTTTTTGTCTTTTATGGATAAAAAAAATTTGTAAATTTACATCTTTTATATCTTCTATTAAAAAAATGTAATTTCCATTTTCTTCGCACCTTTTCATTATAGAAGTTTTCGATCACTTTGAAAATTTAAATCACAATTTAAATATATTTTGCACCACTATTGGATATGATCTAATATGCTATTTTTAGTTTCAAACCACTTGTTTATACTTTATACATTTAGGACGTCATCAAACTTAATGTTTCCAAATTTTCATTTGCACATTCATATCCCCAACCTTTTTAACATTAAGCATGCAATATCTGCATGACGAAAAACATCTATTTTGATGTTAATCGCACGACACACATAGGATGGCTCAATGAAATGCTAAAATTGTCCAAAAAAAAAAAATATATCAACTTATGGCCCCAATTTGACAAAATATTTTGAGATTATAAGTTATTGGATTTCATGAAATATGCAGTCATAAAGTGAATATAAATTGCGCGTTCAATAAAATATGTTGTGATAGTGAAGTTCCACCAACTTAAACACGATAGAGAAAAACTCTAAAAACAAGAGTCTATTGTACTTCAAATAGGCAACGTTTGACTTTTGGAAAAAAAGAAATCGTTTTTGAAAAATTTTGCCATTTCCACCAAACATTGAGGGCTTGTTACCAAGAAATTTTATATACAACTAGGTTTTTCGTCTGTATGAGAATTCCACTCACATAATGATATCCTGAAGGAATTTATCTTTATATATTTGCAATTAAAATTGGGAATAGAAATCAAACTGATATAAGAAAGTGATTTTTTTTAGCCCATTTATATATTTCACGTAGACTCTTTAGCCGCATAACGACTCCACTCATTTATATGTGAGTGGTGACTAAAGAAAAAGAAATTTGTGTCACATATAATACAATTTATTCTTGTTGAATATTTGATAGTGAAAGGGTTGTTATGAAATGGACAAACAAATAAGACAGTTTAATCCACATGAGTGTGATTAAACCCAATAATATAAGGAAATATTTATAGAATATGAATCACAAAGAAAACAGGAAAAAAAGAAGAAGAAAATCCGAGGCAAGTGAAATGTCACTCTTTACTTAAGACAATATTGTTTCATAATGGTGCTCACAGATTATGGCACTTGTCTCATAAGGTATAATAAATACAACTTGTGATGGAAGCACTTCAAACCATAAGTTCCAACGAATTTTTTGACAGAACTTCCCTCTCTACAAGGAAGATAGTTTGGATGATTTTGCAAAAGACTCAACGCAATTCTTAATGCCAAAGTGATATGGAATGTATTATGGACGTCAAAATGATGCTATTTATAAAAGATGAAGGGTTGTGGTTGAAGTGTTGCGTATTAAATCTCGCAACCTTATAAACAGAAGCATCACTTGCTATTGCTAGCATATTGATGACCTCTCGCATGAGTGCCAGTGTCAAAATATGTACAAAAACTTTTTGCCTGCCTGTCTCTACCCCGTTGCATGAGCGACAGGCGAGCAACGAAGTGAGACAATTTTTCAGGCCAGTTTTTTCTATTTTCTTCCAACTTTGCACCGTAGTTTCTTATTCATCCAGAATTAGTTTTGAGATTCCAAATATATCAAAACGATCTACTCAACAAACAAAATAAGTTAACATATTTACATTTGTAATTTGACTATTGGATCAAGTCCAAATATTTGGTCAAAATTAATACGAAAATTACTTTTTCAATTTTTATACATAACCAAATTCTCAATTTTGAAACCACAAGTCTTATCCATTGTATTTTGGTAGACAAGTGCTTTAATCCGTGAGGATTGTTGTGGGACAATATTGTCTCAAGGAAAGAATGACATTTCACTTGCCTCGGATTTCCTCCTCCTTCCTCATTTCCTGTTTTCTTTGTGGTTCATATACTATAAATATTTTCTTATATTATTGTATTTAATCACACACTTGTTGATTAAACTCTGTTTTAATTATTTGTGCATTTCATAACAACCCTTTCACTATCAAATTATCCAACAATTCTCACTGTTGGGTTTACCAGAATTAATTCTGTTTTATCACACAAATCTTAACTACATAACATGGTGAGATTTTAAGGACACAATTCCTAGATGTCCATGCCCGGATACTGTTCAGTCTGTTTTGTTATTTTTAATTTTTTCTACTATTTCCACAAAACGGCGCAGTACGGCCTCAATTTTCATCTTTTATGAAAGTTCCATTAGAAATTGATTTCAATTTGACGATGTTTTTTTATTTTTATTATTATTTTTAATTTTCGTGCTATTATATTTTAGTTTTATTGATTGTGTTAACAGAGTTAACTTTCTATGTTTTATGTATTAACTTTAGGAAAAATAATTTATTCTTTAATTTTTTTTTGTTTTTCAGTTCATCCTGCCAATGGGAATTTATAAGTATGTTGATTGATGATTGAAACAATTACCTAGAATACCAAGAATCACACAAATAGGAGCTTGATTAGGTAGATTATCACATCAATCTTATTCTTCGTCTTCTTTGAATGCGATTAATTAGGAGGAGGAACCTGGACTTCTGCTTATAAATATTGCTTTTCATTAATTAATTAATTAATTATTAATTTATTTATCTACCAATAGGACAAAGAAAACCTAGACTTTTGAAAGTGAACCCCCATTTGTTTCCCATTCTTTCATTATTAAAATGAAAAATATGATCGTTATCTATTACATCAAGTCACCAAATTTGAATTTTTATCTCTTATGTGAAATCCGTAACGACTATATTTTTCACTCATTCTTCAAAAAATGGAAAATAAATGAGATCTGAATAATGTTATTTGCAATCACTCACAATTGCAACCGTCCTACATGACCTGTGTGGTAATTAATAATTTGATATATAAGGTATAAAAAACTATTACATTAATACATCAAACCGATGTAGAATGCTATGTAAAACGACTATCACAGTGACCGACTATGAATAACATTACTCTTTGAAATTACTACTGATAGTTAATTAATTGTTACCTGCCACGAGAAAAGGACAACTAGGCTAAGTTAATCATGCTAACCAACATAACCAATGTCAAATAGTCCAGATAAAAGTTACAATAGATACAATTATTTCAACTTCGGAGGCCACAAAGTAATACAATAAACAATGTACAGGATGTTTGTGCAGGTAGAGTTTTTGAATAGACAGCCTTAAAATCAGCTAAAAATCTTTCTACAAGTTAAGAACTTATTTCAAATTTCGAAGTCAAAAATGATTATTAAAAACAATCAAAATTTGACCTTAAGAAAGGAGAATATGTTAATTAATCAATTGTCCAACTGATCACCACGCCTAATTGAATGTCCCTCCTACAATTATATAGGCTCCCACAGTAATAACATATTTTGGTTCGAGCATTTGCTCATATAATCCTACTAAAGAGGGTGCCACTTTCATTGTTACTGTTCCAACTGTTAAAACTAAATCCAATATAGCTTCAGGCAAAATAGCCTCAAATTGCTACCAAACACGTTTGATAAAGCAAATTGGACATACAGCATAATAAACATGGCATTTGTACCGTGTAATCATAATTTATACAATAGATTAAGCATAAACCCATACAAAATTGCAGTGTTTCATCTTGTTGGGGATCACATCTTTGGACCCTAAAGGGCTTACCCACCTCCAAGCCTCAGTAACATACACTCACATTTCATTGACCTCTCTCTCTCTCTGCACTGAATTTCCAAGATAGCATCAACAGTGCATTATGGTATTGCTCAAACTTTAAGTCATGTTTGGTTGGAGAGTATCAAAGAAGTTAAAATTTTGTTCATTATACTGTTGATCACTTCATACCAAACATGCACTAAGAGTTAAAGCAAAATTAAATTTGACAAATTTCTTGATGCACGTGGGCACATTTGTTCGAGGAAATGCTTTCAACGAATATCCTATGGTCTGTGCTACACTACGAGTACTAACACGATCAGGCTCTACACATGCAGGGTGTCAAAGGGTTCTCCCAAATGTCATAGTTGGGGAAAGTTTCTTCAGGTAATCCAGTTCGAGTCTGGTGAGTAACAACGATGTCTTCCACAAAGGTGGCCCAGCCCATGTACGGATCACCTAAAGATTTCGACATAAGACCCTTGTCAGGTTTTATGGATTTAAGGTGATGACCCATGTACCTACGAAATCCAATTATCAATTTAGCAAAATTTCCTCCGTGAGTCATCACAAAGACATCAGACTTCAAACAGACCAAGAAGTCTAGAGCCGCCAAGCTCGTCACATGCTTCCTGAATCCATCTAACTCTAACTTGGTTGCCAGTTCCTCCTTTGTAACCTGTCACCAATACTCGATGAAAAGAGTTGACTACAATATGCTTCCAATTCAAAAATGCTTCTACTCTATTCATATTACATATAGAAAAGTTGGATCGAATCACTTCAAAACAGGAACAATTCGTCAATAGTGCCACTATTTGTAATTTTGTGTCTCGCATGTAGAATGAAAAGAATAAAAATAAACTTGAAGAAGCTATTGGCATTTTGATCCTATAATAAGATAAGCTGTTAAACAGGAATAGGGAAAATAACTTACAAGATTGGGGAACATGTTCCGGAGTGGTGCCATGCGGTTCTGTCCACCATAAACCTGCCCAGAAGCAACATAAATAGGAGTTTCTTTAGGATAGCCCATAGCTCGAAGCATCACAGCCACTTCACCAGGCTCGAGCGGGCACCGCCCTTCCTTCCGCTTCTGCAGAGCTAGTGCCCAAAGATGGGAACCATCCTTCAAGATAATGTGCCAGAAAGAGGATAAATGTATTAGTTTTGCTATTTCATTTTATATGGCACAAATTTCGACCATAATATTGGTTACCTTGAACCGCCGAGGCCATTCCTTTTGTCTGTATAAAGCCATTACAGCTTTCTCCATCCTTGTCCCCACAAAATCACAAAATGATAGGCCCACCATACCTTTCTCAAACCTTAAATGAAGAGCCCTGACACATTTGGTAGGAAAAATATTATTGAAAACTCCTCGTGGAAAAGGAAATGGAAATTGTTGAACAAAAATTAACTTCAGCAAAACTACCCAAGACAGATCCAAAGTCACTCACATGAAAGGATTTGAACTGCCAGTTCGGTTTCTCATCCTTGATACAAGAGAATCAGCCATCTGCTCAATCTCAGGAAGAAACTTAAGAGCATGATAGTTTACCCTACACCTTAGCTTGTTGATTTCAGGAGGAACATTATCATACCTGATGAACAAGAAGAGTCACAGCAGTAGTAAACTAATAAAGAATTTTAGATAAAGCTAATGAAGGTCATAAAAAGAATTATACTGTTTAAAACTACTTACCCCAGTCGATCAACAAAAGGTTTCAAGGACATTATCTTCTTCTCCTTGACTCGAGGCAAAACATTGTCAATGTAGAACTGAGCAGGAGCATATTTCGGAATGTTCTTGAC